AGAGAATGTAGAAATACAGTTTTTATACAGAAGAAACAAGGTTTTCTAAATTCAATCCACAAACTTGAGCCTGATCTTTGGCATATTTTGGGAAATGGATGGGTTCATCTGCTCAGTATACAGTGATGACTGATAAAGGCTAGTTCATTCAGAATGACTTCTGCTAGACTAAGCTTCATTCTCATGCATAAAGTCAGGGTAAGTGGTATGTCTGAATCTTGACAAGAAGCCAGCTGTTTAAAAAAATTTAAGGCAAATAGAGAATTAGTCATGCATTTTTTTGCATTCATAATTGATTGAAAGGGTCAAAAATCATCCATAAAAATTTATGAAATTTGTCTCTGCCTAGCCCTATTGTTGCCAATATGAAATGAAGATATCAAAGTCAAATTTCCACATTTTTTGGCTTGATACATAAAAATAGGAGAGGGACTAATATATTAAAGGTGAAATGCATTAGGGATAAACATAAAACATTAAAAAGTAGGATCTGGAGTTGTAACTCAGTGGTAGAATGCATGCCTAGCGTGCACAAGGCCCTGGATTCAAGTTCCAAACCACAAATAAATTATATAAACTATTTCATTGGAATTATAAACATATAGATCCTTAATTATATTAATAATGGATATATATCCACATTTCATTGGCATTGTAAACATATATCCATAGGCATGGAATAGAAGAAACATGACTTGTTAGCACCATCTATAAACAAAAAAAGATTGGCATGAAATAGCAGTGGAATGTGGTTGCTTTAAATGTCATACAGACTTTGTTATTTTCATAGAATTTTGATAATTATGATGAGACAGGTCTGCTGTGCTATTCTTCTCTTGCCATACCTGACTGCATATGATTTCATTTTCAGACACTTCAGGGTTAGAAAGATGTTCCTGTACTAGATCATGTCCTCTAGAGTAGGGTGAGGGAGGTACATGAGAGGAAAGTGAGAGAAGTTGCCACCATGTCTCATAGGAAGAGCTTGATTTGGTATTGAGGACATAGATTTCATAGAAACTTGAGCAGCACTGGATGTGGCTCATGGTGCTGAGGGAAGGAGATATATATTGAAGAGCCAAGGGTGCATTAGATCTTCCACTTTGAAAGCATGCTATAGGAGATTGTGTGCCATTGAGAACTGCTCTGTACTTTTCACGGAGTATCTGGTAAGCAAGGAAACCTCTTCTAGAGCCTTATTCTGGCAGACTGTGTAATCCCATATCACAGCCACTGCTGTCATGTGGGCTGAGGGATGAGCAAAAACCTAGTGTTTCAACTTGTTTCACTCAGGGCACTCTCACTATCCCATGCAGCCACCGCTGAGTTTTTAGACTCTCTAAGGCACTGGCTTTTCGGATATTGATGAATTTTCTAAATTGCATCAAAAACGTTAAAAGTAGTAGAAGCTTGAGGGAGATCTGTAGAGCAAAAACTTCTTCCTCTCTGCCAGGAAAATCTGTTTTCAGCCACCAAAACAACAAACAAGCAAGCAAACCAAACCAAAAATAACAACACAAAACATTATCCCTGTTCTTGGATGCTGTATCTTGCTTTGTTTTTTTTGATTCTCTTCAGATCAGAGACTCAATTGTATGATGGTATTCTTTCACCATGTAACCCTGATACTTTATGGAAGTAGCTGATAGAAATGTAAGAGTAGCCAGAGAACACAGTGCCTGACACATGGTAAGCAATGAGTGAGTTCCAGATGTTGTAGCCTCTTCCTCTTTCTCACCATCTCCATGTCACATTACTGTAAGTGCTCATTGAATGTGTTTGTCTTTCTCAATCAAGCAGAGATTTTTATCTTCTTTGTGTTTTTGTCCCCACTGTTCAATAGTCTCCAACATAAAGTTAGTAATTTGATTATTGAGTAATTGAGACTATCTTGGTTAATAAATGACATCAGCTGTGGTTGCTCTGCAAGTCATCTTTCATGATTTAAAAATAGTGAGATTCAGCTACACTTACCTCAAGAGTCTGTCTGGCCTAGAACATCATAGTCAGAGCTGGAATATCAGGAACTGAAGCCTAGGAGGGACCTTTTCTATCTCCCAGCACACCTGCTTTGCTTTGCAGAGTGTATGCTAAAATACTGTGGTTCAGTTTGGCTTGAAGTGGCATAATTAGAAAGATGTGGACCCAGGAGGACTCAGAGGGGAGACTTGAGAGACAGCTGAATCAGAGAAATGTAGCTTTTTTAAATTCACATCAACACATCATGTTTCTACATTTGGAATCTGTTGGTTTTGCTCTTAAGAGTAGCACTTAGTTAAAGGATTAAAAATGTAAAATATTAACAATAACTGGAGGTGATGTCTATACTTATTTTTATTTACTTATTAGTGTATTTTAGACAGAATCTTATTATATAGCCTTGGCTTGTCTGGAACTCACTATGTAGAACAAGCTGACATTGATCCCAGAGATCTGCCTTCCTCTGCCTCCCAAGTGCTGGAATTAAAGACATATACCACCATGCCTAGAAAAGTAATTTATTTTTAAAAGAGATATAGGACTGGAGAGATGTCTCAGTGGTTTTTTAATTTGCTGATCTTGAAGAGAACCTAGATTCAGTTCTTCCCACATGGTTCACAACTGCTTGTAACTACAGTTCCAGGGTATCTGGCACCTTCTTCTGACCTCTGTGGCTACCAAGTATGCACATGATACATATACATACGTGTAGGCAAACACTCATGCACATGAAATAAAAATAAATCTTTAAAAGGAAAGAGAACATAATGTTCACTATAAATGTAAAGAGCTACCAAATCAGGCAGCTTATTAAGGGAGTGCATTGTGGTTTTGTGTGGGAGGCCAGCTCCCACCCTTTAAAGGGTTCCTATGAGGAGGAGAGAGGTATAAGAAAATATTAGATAGAAAGATAGCAAATAAGAGAAAGACAGAAACACAGGATAGCTTCAGGAGGACCTGGATCAAAACCCAGTGGCCTCGAAGATTTATTCAAAAGGCTTTTTATAACATGCCAAGGGGAGAGGCAAAAGACCTTTCCCTTGCTACATCAAAGCACACTGCACAGCCAAGTGTAGACCCTTCCAAACATCTGGTAACCATGCCCATGGCCAAATCATCCCTTTATATAGCCCTGCTGGGTAAAGCAAGCTCAGATTCTCAGACCCTGAGTAAATTCTCACTAGGAAACCTCTGCGGGTCTCTACAGTCTTGATCATCTGTTTCCTAACTGTTATCAGAAAGGGTATTTTCAACACATGATAAGCCATGATTGCATTGCAAAGAAATTATTTCTTATATACAGATTTGAAAAGTAAGAATTTTGATACTCCAATTGATTCAACAAAGGCTAATGCTCTGCTTTAGAAGTGTTTCATTTATCTCTTGCTGACAATATAAAGTGTAAAGATTACAGAGTACATGTCCAGGTCATTTTTTCATCCATTGTGCTTATCTAAAGGAGGGAAGTATGCACCTAGTTTATAACTTATAAATTGCTTATCTGGTGGCCCAATTAAAATTCAGTTAGCTGTCTGAATTTGTCCAAATTATAACACAGATAGAAAAGTTTGGGGAAGAGACAAAATGAACAGACAGAGATTTTTAAATAGAAAAGGAATTAATTTCTAAAGCCTTGAGTTTTTACAAAAAAGAACCATTGGAGCAGGTCGAACTTAAAAGGGACAAAACAATAAAAAGGGGACACTTCAAGTTCTGAGAAAACAGAGAAAAAAGTCCAAGTATGATAAGTCTAAATATCAGTTGATACAGATTCAGATTTCTTCATTCCTATTAATAAGAAATGGTTAAGCTGCAACAAAGATCACTGTGTAAAAGAGTCTCCTCAATAATGATGCTATAGAGAACTCAAATCAAGCTTACTTCATGTTGCTTTCTATATTTCATTAGAAAGTTTATGTTTCTTAAAAACATTGTTGTGAATTTTGATATTCTAGAAATACCAAATTCTGATACATTTTGTTATAAAATAGAATATAGTGATTTTAGAACAGCAATGACTTAGATATGAGCTTTTAAACATAAATTTGAATAGAGTCTTAACCCTGTAAATCCAGAATTTGAGGTGACTTGACTTTAATATCTTCTACATGTCTAAACTGTTCAGCAAAGAAAATGCTTCAAGAATCATTTTCAAACCCAACTTCCATTTTTGCTTTTTTTCAGACTTTTTTGAAAAAATATTATGTATACATTTCCCACTAGCCTTTTGTACATTTCTAATATTGTAAACCCAATGCTAGAGAGCAAACTGATTTGTGATGGCTTAGACCTATCTTTTTGGATTAACACAATGACAATTTATAACATGTAGTTAATCTAGTATGAGTTATAGTATATGGTTTTAAAGTAATAAAAACCAAACAAAGTGAGTACCATTAGTAAGGTTGGCTTCCTTCATCAGTCCAAGTTACTCAAATTTTCTTATATAATGAACCATCTAAGATTTCTGCTAACAATTATTTTCAGCACATACAATCAATTTTCTGAAAACTGTAAAGATAATTTTCTTGTTCAATATCATCTTAATAAGGTATTGTTTGACTTTCTCAAAATATCTGTGAGTTTGACAATATTACTATATGCCCTGACAATAAAATCTGTTACCTAAATATATTCCATTTTAGAACAGCAGATCTATGTGCTAATCAAGTAATCAGCATCATGTTCAAGTTCAGAAGTTGAAGATTTTTTTATATCAATAGACTCTGACTTTAGAGGCATCAGAGCACCAACTATGAATGCCATAGGACATAATGTACTTAAAAAACTATTGCAACTATTTTTATGACATTAGTTTTTCTAATATTGTATTTAATTAAGAAAAAAATTCTCTCTTTTCTATTGGCGTTAGTCAAGGAAAACCCAAAAAACCCACACTTAATCTAGATGTTTCTGAGTGCACATTCCTCACTAAATCTCAGGCAGCTGATTTAGTTACTGTTGCTAACACCTTTATGTCATCTCTTTGTGTACATGTCTAATTTATTAGTTTCTTGTAGATTGTCAGCAGCCTGCTGCCTCCGTACCGCCACAGTGCTCACAACTAACTGGGAGGCAAGACTACCCAACTGTCAGGTAAATTCACAGGTCCTTCCTTCTCCCACCAGCTGCATGTCAGCTCCCCTCCCAAGACCATAACTACCTATGCATCTTTATATGTTATTGCATGTTTTTTTCATGAATTGGCTACATGATGATGCCCTTGTTACTTGAAATCCATGTTCCCTATGAGCATGCACAGGAGTTAGTGCTATGTCATCGACCACTAGCTGGTAGAATGAAGGCTGCTTCGTTTCCCCTAGTGAGCAAACACTTGGATTATGCCAGTGTTTCATTGCCTCCAATCTCAAACCTGTAGTTTTAAGCTATTTGACCTACTTTTATCTTTTTGTCCTTCAAATATACATCTCAGGCAAACAAACAGTGAAAATATATGCAAATAGACATGGAAAATATCTAATGTCCATTCTAGGACACTTTATAAAAGGGTTTCCATTTTCTGTCTACTCAGTCCCATTGTTAAAATTGAATTTGTAATATTATGTACCTGTTACCCCAGTACTTTGGATGCTGTGCTGAGTTTGAGACCAGCATGAGTTATATATTGAGTTCAATGCCAGCTTGTGATACAGAATAACACTGTCTCCAAAATCTATTTTTAAAAAAAGACGGGGGTGGGGGGGAAGGAGGGAGAAAAATTCAAATCTGAATTCCAAAAAAAAAAAAATTGCAGTGATTATTTTCCCTTTATCTGAAATGCAGTGTTTCAAAGGCATGTTTGTAGACTCCGTAGACATTGAACTTGAGAGTTTGCTGACAGTTCATATTCCACTTTAAAGCACTCCAAAACAATTACTAGTTCCATCCTGAGTGACTCCCCCAGCCTAGCAGCATCTTGTCAGAACCTCCTCATCTCCATAATGTCTTTCATCCTCACTTACCTGGCTTCTGCTGGTACCAAGCTTATTAATATACATAATGTATCTCTTGTTCTCCTACCAGAAGAAGTCTTGTGTCAAGCAAGGACCAACCCAAACATGGGTCCATGTGTGTGTTTGAGATGAGTAGCTGTCAGTAGCAGACATACATGTTCATGCCTTAGGGTAACTGGGTACCCGCCAATACAGAAGCAATACATCTAAAGCTAGAGTGTGATGTGTTCTATTGCCTATGTAAGTGGAACACTGCCCTCAGTATTGTGGATTGAACCTAGGGTCTCACATATGCTGTTAAGGGATCTACTATTGAGCTGCATTGTCACCCCCCAAAGTACATTGTAAATAGTGTCTTCTGATTGATGTCTCTTAGAAAACTGATCATACATTTACCTCAGAAATATTCCTTATTTTTGTATTTATTTTATTTTATTTTATGTGTGAATGTTTTGCTTGCATGTATGTATGTGCACCATGCATGCTTGGTGCTTGGAGATGTTAGAAGATGGCACTGGATTTCTTGGAAGTAGAGTTACAGATGGTTGTGAAACACTGTGTAGGTGCTGGGAATTGAACCCAGGTCCTTTGCAAGAATAACATATGTTCTTAATTACTGAGTCATCTCTCCAGCTTCTCAGAACTATTCTTTACTAATGTGTTGATGGCATTTATAACAATAGCCAATTCTGGGTAATTTCAATTATATAAGTATTATTAGTATGAGTGTTCAAGTTGATCAGAGAGAGATTCTATAGTATAGTGACTGAGAACCTGGAGTCTGAACCTCTAGTCTACACTCTGCAAAGAAGCCTCCTTCATTTGGGGCTCCAGGGTAGTGCTAACACTGTACAGATGCCCCATAAATGTTGACTACATAACAGAGTGGATGAGCTTTGTAGTCAGATTTTTGGCTTGTGATCCTATCTCTTATACCCTATATGTGTAATCTTGGAAGGCTGTTTCTACTAGCTATGTTCTTTCTTTACTTATAAGGTAAAAAGCACAGACACTGGGGGAATTCAGTGATGAAGGGCCTGGCATGTCTGTCCAGTCTGTTGAGAATTCACACTTTTGTACACTACCATCCCTGACCAAAATCTGTTTATTTTGTGGCCAATCCAGCTTGCTTGAGCACAGTTGGCATACTACTGCTTTTAAAATTTCCATGACTCAGGAATGGAAATGTATTCCTTCTCTTCTGAGGTTACTTAATGTTGGTGCCTCCTGTTTCCCTGGGGGTGATTTACTGAAATAAAAGCAATTTAGTGAATTTCAGACATTCCTAGTTTCTATTCAAGTAGTTGTAGCATGTCTAGAACAGACTTCTTCTCTTCCTCACTATAGTACACACAGAGAAAGGATTAATGTATAGAGATTTGGAAGGACTCCTCTTCAGAGTGGCTTGGGTCCTGACTGGCTTCTGCTACAGGAGGACCTGAGTCAGTACTGCATTGTCCTCTTACTCCTTCTAGGCAGGAAAGGCAATACACAACCAGCATCAGAACTCAGACTGGGTACCAGACAAGGGTAAGTTCTTCACATGTGTTAGTCACTGTGATTCTCCTATAGGCTAAGCAGCTGTTATACTCCTCTAAATGAGGAAATCAGGCTTGGGCACACAGAACAACTGAGCCAAGTATTTAACACCCATCCCTGTCCACCATGGAGCATAGCTGCACTTAGATAAGGAGCCAGTCATTTTATCTACAGTTGGCAGAACAAAGAAAGCTTGTGTAAGTTACCTAGCTGACTCAGTTTCTTTGAATTGAAAGTGGATATTCAGTGAAACATGAGAAAAATTTCTAGGAATATTGAGTGATTTCATTTCAGATGCTCTCTTTGTTTCTCATTTTGAAAAAAAAAAAGTTTTTTACTTCCCTCCTGTTTATATGTATATACTTAGTAACTGTAACTGTTTTTTTTTTTACTTCTGGGAGTTAAATTCAGGACTGTACACATGTTGTACTCACATAAATTTTAAGGTATATGATTTCTCAATTCCTTAGTATTTAAGGTATATGATTTCTCAATTCCTTAGTTTCTTAATAAAGTGCTCTTACACTGAAAATGTAGAACTTTTCCACATATAGTTTTGTTGTTTTGAGACATAGTCTTGCTATGTTGTCAAGGCTTATCATGAATTACATGAGTTCCTGGACTTCAAGTGATCCTCCTGCCCTGGCCTCTCAAAAAGCTTTAATTGCAGGTTTATGCCACATGCCCAATGTCTATATACTTTGTTTTTTGGTATTAAAGTTTTTATTTGGAGTCTCATGCACAATCTATACAAGTCATGAAAATGGAAAACACCACAAAATAATATTTAAATAGAAGGTAAGAGCACAGTATGTCATGTTTCAATAAATACAATTCAATTTTTTGGACTATTTGCAGGCTGATTCTATTCTAAGTTATTAAAAATTTTTATACATAATGATACAGTGGGAAATGATATTATAGCCTTGGACATAATATTTAAATATATAAAAATGTGTAATATTTATCACATCTTCACATCTACTAAGTTGTATTTACCTGGAAAAAGACAAAGAAAAATAATAACTGTAAGATGAATTACTAAACGGTCTTATTAATAAAAAACTTGGAGCCAGATATTAGGGTTAAAACTGGATATCAGAAAAGCAGAAAGAAGCCAGCCACATTCTTACCACTTGGAGATCCTCAGCCAAAGAGACCTACTTCCTGTATACCCAGCCTATATTCTTCTGTTCTGCATTTCACTTCCTGTCGCCACCCAGCTACATCGCTGCCTGTCTGTCTGTACAGACCTCCTGACCTCTATGGTTAGTGCTGGGATTAACGGCGTGTGTCACCTTGCTCTGTTCCCCAATGTAGCCTTGAACTCACAGAGATCCGGATGAATCTCTGCCTCCCAAATGCTAGGATTAAAGGCATGTGCTACCATTGCCTGACTTCTATGTTTAATATAATGGCTGGCTTTTTCCTCTGATCCTCAGATAAGCTTAATTAGGGTGCACAATATATTGGGAAAAACAATGTATCACTACAAATAACCTTTTTGAAGATATTTCAAACTTCCTGAAGATATGCCCAACTTAATACTTTAAATGTCTTAGTAATGAATTGTTAGGCTCTCTGTTGCCATGTTCTTCCAGTGAAAAGTTATTTATAGTAAAGGTTGAATAACAAGCAGTCTTCTAAAGATATTTAACAATCAAAATGGAAACTGAATTCATGTTATACTTTAAGTAATAATGTGCCAAATGTTTATGTTAAAATAACTTATTAACCTGTCAGTCAAGAATATGTTTCTTAGCCGGGCGGTGGTGGCGCACGCCTTTAGTCCCAGCACTCGGGAGGCAGAGCCAGGCGGATCTCTGTGAGTTCGAGGCCAGCCTGGGCTACCAAGTGAGTTCCAGGAAAGGCGCAAAGCTACACAGAGAAACCCTGTCTTGAAAAAAACCAAAAAAAAAAAAAAAGAATATGTTTCTTATAGGTTAGTGTATATATATTGCACATGATGTTACTACATTTTATGCAAACTTAAAATACTGATACTATGGTGTAAAATAGTCCAACTTTCACTTTGTAAAGAATTTTAAATGATTAAAATAATTTTAAGTCATCATGAATGATACATCAAGATTCTGAGACAACTGAACTATAGCCACTGCTTGGGCTATGCTCTCCTTAGCTAGCCATGCAAAAACACTCCAGGAAGAAGAGTATTGCATCATACAAGGTCCTTCCTGCATAATGTGACTACCATAATTCTACTTGCTATAACTTATGCTGTACTTTATGTTTAATTCTGTAGAAAGAAATTATTTCTAACTTACAAAAGACCACAGGGTCTGAGGAAAGTCTCTCTGATTTATTGTTAATCTGTTATTCCCTAACTATTGACTATTGGGGAGGTTAGGGATAATCTTACCCAGCATTGATTTTTTTCCTTTTATCATTAATTGATTAAACTGTACACTACCTTCTTGATCCTTGTTTCACCATTTTGTATTTGCTACATTTATACACATGGGTTAGAGCTGTGGCTTAGTCACAGACTGCTTGCCTAAACTGTATGAAGTCTTGTGTTTCTTCCCAAGCATCACCAAAAAGAAAAAGAAACAGGAAAAATAATTTTTACCATTGGTCATCCTAATCAGTATAGGACATCAGTTTCCTTTTAAACTAAATTTACAGTGGTTCAAAGAGCTCAGGAAGTAACTTCTTGCTAAATATTTACTAAATTATGATTTTATACTAATGTTCAACAGATACGTATGATTGACAATTTCAGTACCAAAGCTTCAAAAGTATCTGTTTAATCCGATTTTTAATTAATCCATTGATAATATTGCTTTTAAAATTATTTAAATATATAAATAATAAACTTTGAATAGTTACAACAAATACTCCCAATAGAAATGAGTTACCAAGGGGCTGGAGAGATGGCTCAGAGGTTAAGAGCACTGCTTGTTCTTCCAAAGGTCCTGAGTTCAATTCCCAGCAACCACGTGGTGGCTCACAACCATCTGTAATGAGATCTGGTGCCCTCTTCTGGCCTGCAGGGATATGTGCAGGCAGAACAGTGTATCTAAAATAAATAAATTAAAAAAAAAAAAAAGAGAGGAAAGAAATGAGTTACGATATTAAAAGTCATAATATATGGGGAAGTAGACCATGTTTTCCAATTTAAAGAAACCCATGGTACCCTCTCCCTGTTGATAATCATGTTTTAAAAGATATCAACCCAAATATGTTTTGTAGTTTTATCCTTGGAAATCTAATGATTTTTACTACTTTACTCTTCAAGATTATTCGTCAAGACATTGAAGAGTCTGAGACCATGCTCATTACAACTGGAGGTTCTCAGAGGTGTCCTGTTGGTTAGAAGATCACATCATTCACTTAACAAATGTAAAATGCTGTAAAAGTCATCATGTTTTTTTTTTTTTCATACCACCAAACCAAAGTGGAGGAACCCTAAGAGCAAACTAGACTTCACAAGCAAGTGGATTATCTTTCTGAGTCTCTATAGTAAACTAGATTCTTATAAATGTTAATGTCTTGGTCTCTGGGCAGGCACCATCTGAACCACAGAGAGCACATGGCAAATACAGGCTCTAGAGTCCCTTACTGGCCCTGATAACTCAAAGTCTCCTTTACCAAGATAATAAAGTTTGAAAAGGACTGATCTAATGACACTTTACTGCCAACCCAGAGATCTAGGAGTTGGAGACTGTGCAAAAACTGAATACTTGGCTTGGAGGACAAGTTCATGTATCAGTTCCCAAAGTTTCTCTTTACTTTTTCTTTTTTCTTTTTCCATGCTCTGCTTTAAAACCTGAATTTTTCTTGGCATGCTTTGAATTTAAACAATTTTCTTCACAAAGTTTCTGTTCGTGTGTTTAAAATGTATAGTGCAATAATTTGTCTGACCATCACAGTGTACGTGGTTGTTTACCAGTATGATTTTGCTAACTGCCTTCTTTCTCATTTTCAGTCCGGACATTGCCCTCCCTGAGGAGCAACCACATTCCAGCTCACAGTGTGCTCCTCTCCATTGTCTCACCAAGCCTCCTTACCCCTAGTCTTCATCTCTCATGGATGAGTATATGGGCTGAAGGTTTTGTAGCCACACTGAGGACACTGCCTGAGATCTAGCAGGTGTTTTCTTCTTGGAGACTAGATGTACATATAGATTACAGTCCATCATTTTTGAAGAGGAGAGAGAGTTCAGAAGAATAAAATGATGCATTGAACCTGGTGTAATCAAACAATTTATGGTTTATCTGAGTCACAGATGACCTGCAATCAAATGGCAACAGTTCACTTGAAATTTAAATGAAACATGTATCTCAGTTAGCTGGCTTTACCTCCACAGCATAAAAGAGATCCAAGACAATGTAAAACAGATATGTTGTAAAATCATCTTTCCCTGTACTTCAAAGTCAGTCATCAAAGTTGATTCCAATATTTTCATTGATATTTATTTTGTATTTTATTTGCTATATGGTTTGTGTTTATAAAGATACCTTCTGTAAGCAGAATTCATTTATTTTTAAATACTCATAGTTTGCTCAATTTAATTTAGTTTAAAATCTGGAACTGGCAAGATTATGGTCCTTTTTCTTGCAGAAAATTACAAATGAGGTGCATCAGAATGTTAACACTAACTGTTTTGCTGCTACATGAATATTCTTTATGCAGTTATTTTCTAATTAGTAACTCATTAATTGCTAGTTTTTTTTACTATATTTCTTCAGTGGACATTTATTAAGTAAATCTAAGAAAGAGGCAAAGATATGATTCATTGACTTAATCAAGTTTTGATTGTATCTTTAATTTTTTTAAGTTGAAGTTGAGTAGATATATTGGTGCTGCTCCTGTGTGATTGTGTGTGTGTGTGTGTGTGTGTGTGTGTGTGTGTGTGTGTGTGTGTGTGTTAAAGAAGGGAAAATTACTAGAAGGAAAGAAATGGTGTGTTTATTTAATGACCACAAATTTTTTTTAAACTTTTTCCAAATTTAGGGTCTTACTATGGGTTTCCCACTAAAAGGGATCACTATAAATGTAAAAACATATACATATATAGCTGTAAGGTAGGCTTGGCTTGTTAATTTGTGCATAAAGTGTATGTTTTTATTGTTTGTTTATTTCACAATGAATCTTTCTTGCAAAAAAAAAAATAAACCTTAGATCATTGTCTACTTTTGACAAATACTCAGGTGCCTACAGTCATATTGAGATAAGACATATTCCTATTTAATTTACAGATTCTGCTAGGTAATTTTTATGACTTTATTTAAGTCAATAGAATTTCATAGAAAATTTTAGGTTTTGCATTATTGAGAAAACGAGGACAACAGCTAATTGAGCTGTGAGGTCTAACTTGGATTCCTCAGTTCTCAAGTGCTGCCCACATAATTGCGCCTAACCCTGACTCCTTGTCCTTGTCAGGTAGCCTTAACTTACATAAAACCATAAAGATTTTACTTTTTTATTTAACAGTATCTTTAACTTCTCTTCAAAACAAAACTGGTCCTCACTGTTAGCAAAAAGATGACTAGCGCTGTAGGAAGACAACAGAGATTTCAGAGCTTCCCAGCTTGTGGCACATTTATGAAGTGCTCCATCAAAGGTCAGCTGTCAGTCACAAAGCACATTGCAGGAACTTTGTTTGTTTTTTCTGTTCCTGTTGAGTAGCAGTCATAGTTACCAAAGCAACCCAAAGATTTTGTGTTCCTTATCTGAATAATGTTTTCATGTTATTTCTTATGCAACTTGGAGTAATAGTTGAAATAGTTGCCCAAATAGGGATGCAGGTTAAAGTACAGCAACACACAAGACAGATCCTGATGGAAGTCCTAGTCAATCAGAATCCCCACATAGTTGCCTGTATTGCTTTGTTATTTCTGTACATTCTCATTTATTGGTGTTGAATTTGCCTGGTGCCAATATTAGTGAGACAGTATCGATTTTCATTGGAGTTCAATTAAAGACAACTTCCTCTGTTCTTTCTTTTTCACTTTCCCCTTTCCTAAGCATGAATTGAAACCCAAGAAGTGTCATAGTTGCTAAGTTGACTTTGACCTGAGGGATAAAATGCCTTTTTTAAATAAGTACCCCAGAATGAGTTGTGTCTTTGGAATGGGAACTCAACAATGGATCTCTTCCCTGTGTAACCACTGTTGACATAACTACATTGTGTTTGTGTGTAAAGCTGATTTCTTCCAATATGAAATTTATCAATAAGTCTGTTATAAATGTGTTTCATTTTAGTTGTTTATTTGAACAGAGTATGAAATGTTTGTTTTGAAATATTAATTCTTTAAAATATTAATTTTAACAGAATTTAACCAAGAAGATATAGAAACTTTGAAATAAATTTCTCATTTTCAGCACAAAAGTAGGTGGTAATCTCTAAGCAGTAAGAGACTATCATTTATTTATGTTGTACCACAACATTTAGTATAGTTTAGACTGAGCCACATTTATATTTATTTATTTACAGACCTTTTCAATGAATAAATGTATAGTGCTGATAAAAATGAATACCTGTAAAGATAACATTGGGATGTAAAAAGAAAACGAAAAAGTGAAAAACTGATGAAACAAAAAGCATGAATCTCAGTAAGAATAATTGAAGGTGCATTTGATATTAAAATATAAACTATAGAAACACTACAAATGCTAATTGTTGTAAACATTTCAAACAAAGGTGAGAGGTAATGTTCAAGATTAGTTAGGCAAAGTAACCAACTATTTGTAAAATTTCATTACATTTTACTCTGTGTGTGTTTGTGTGTGTGTGTGTGTGTGTGTGTGTTTGTGTGTGTGCACATGCGTGCATGTACACACATGCGTATCCACAGTATGTGTGGAAGAGTCAGAGGAAAACCTATAGGAATTACTTCTCTCCCACAATTATGTGGACCCCAAGGTTTGAACTCAGATTATCAGGTTTAGTAGAAGGTATCTTCATCTGCTGAGCCATCTTACTGGTCTCCATATTTTTTTTAATGTAAGCACAATTACAAAACCGAATAGAAGAATTAGTATGAAGAAATGCTTTTCCACAGAGGATTTTTTATTAACACATAATAGTAAAATAAAAAAGAGCAATAAACTGTGATTGGCCTAAGTGCTTAGGAGCATAAAAAAACATTGGATGCATAAACCTTTTGCATATCTAATTCTGGATTTAAAAGAAAGAGGAGGAGGAAAAAAGAATTGTGAAAACTAGAAAATAAAAATTTAGGAATGAAGAAAAGACTTATTTGAAGTTATACTTTACATTTGCCTAAAGGAGAGGTCCAACAAAAAGAACTTAACAAATGGTAGAAAGTAGCTACAGATCCCATAAGACTAATTGTGAAAGGTTAGTATTATCTGTAGAAAGAGATTTTTAACAGTGGAAAATTAATCATTGGATTATAATGATTTGTTTTTAAAAATGGAATGCACTGGTAGTCTAGTAAGTATAAACAATTTACAATAATGTATTATTCTAGGAGCCCACAATTCTATGATTTCTTTTGTTTTGAAATCTAAAATATATCTAATTTTTACTGGTTGGTCATGAAATATTTTTACTTTTGAACTAGGATAACAATCTTAATTTTCTAAGGTATTTATTATTTTTTAAAAGGAGTTCTTCAAAGTTGTCTGGAATATAGCAACTTCACTTTAAAGAACTTCAATGTCAAAGTCTAAAAAGCAAAAACCCTCAAGAAAACTTCATAAATAGAAGGTATGCAGTCTCTTAGAGGAGACAAATACTTCTTAAATTCTATTTACTTACAAAGATCTTCTGTCTTTAACATTTGCTTTACCTATGCCATAGAACATGTTCTTGTATAGATAAGTCCTTCTCTATTAAATAAGCATGAAAAATTGGCTTATTGAACTAGTTAAGAATGTGGGTATTCCCTCATATACTACATTGAATAAAATGCTCTCCAATAACCAAGCACAGATTACAAATAATGGAATGAATAAATCAAATATATTTTCTACTGTGATAAATGTCAACTTTTATTGTATTAGTCAATCAAAAGATTTAATCTTTCTTAAGAAGAAATCAGTGGGCAGGAATAGGGTGTGGCTCAGCAATGGGGTGCTTGCTGGACCTGTGTGAGACCCTGGGTATCATCCACCGCACTGCAAAACAAACAAAACAAAAACTGATGGATTTCCCCACATAGAATCCTATTCATTCAATCCAAGGAGGTCACAAATGAATTGATACTGTACATATAACTAAATTTGTAAAGCCCACAAGTTTAAAACTTTTGTTTTTTTAATAAATAAGAGTGATTTAAAATAATCTTTGCATGAAGGCTGCAAAAATTGTTTTCAAATAAAGCAGAAAACTGCCGAACTGAAGTCATGCTAGTCAGCATGACCAGTGCCACTGTTGAGAAATAAGTATGTATTTCAGAATTGGTGTCCTAGCTCCTGAGTGACCATTTCCGTTTTCTGTAATAATAACCCAAGATGAGTTGTCTGAAATTAAATCTTTATGTAAATGCCATTTTAACTACAATAGTCCCTGATATATTGTAGCCTGGTTCTTTTATTTAAATACCTGAAAGACTTCAACTGAGACACCTCTTTCATCTTGTTACTCAAGGTATAAATTAATGAGATAATTTGTATTAGAATATGTGCTTTGATATGGGATTTTTCAGAACTGACAATCTGTTTATGAGAAGGCACAAGCAATTGACCTCTGTCGTTATAAGGCAAGAATATAAGATGTTTGCATGAAATATTTCACATCGTGTAAGCTTTCCCATATCCATAACATGGATTCTACATTGAAACCTTACTTGTCTTGTGATCTCTTCACTAGGAATGCAAGGAGGCTGTTACATGTACTGGGTCTCCTTTCCATACTGAAGTGCATGGCTTTATCCCTCAAGTGTATTTTTACACCTCTCAGCTGGGGTTGTTTAATAATCTGCCACATCTGAACTGAAGCTTAAATGACCTGCTGAACCAGATAATTTCTGAGATTGGAGTTTAATTGCTCTACAACACTTGCTGATAATTTATTTTATTTTAAGTAACTTTCATAATCAGTTGCTGCTCATTATAACTCTCTGAGACCATTGAGAAGTAAATTTGATGCTTCTTAGTGTGAATGTATGCTTTTTGTTTAAGGGAAATGGCACCACTGTGTTGACAAATCTTTATCTTGTAATGGTGAAACAGAAGGAATCCTAGGGGCAGTGGTGGCGCACATCTTTAATCCCAGCACTTGGGAAGCATAGACAGGCAGATCTCTGAGTTCCATCCAGCCAGCCTGGTCTACAAAAGGAATAATTGGGTTCAAAGCTATTATTGTGTGGCAAATTAGAGGAAATACTTTTTAATGTTATTGCCATAGAACTTTTAAGCTCAATGGTTTGACAGTTAGAGTCAATCAAACAATATTTTTGAAAATCTTTTATGACATTTTTGTAATATATTCACTGTTTTTATTTGCATGGCTATGCATATATGAAGACATGATTCTGATGTTGTGTTTCTTTCCCATGTTAAAATTTGTGTTGTTGTGGTCAAACCTAATTTCTATGCTGTATGATTATTCTTGTAATGATTAAGTTATTCCTCCCTCTCTTATTATGCCTTTGGGGCTTAAACAATGTGAAGTGTTTCTATCTAATAATAATAATACCATGTGAAAACATGACTAAAGACCAGTTTAAGAAATGGTCTTGCTAATTATTTAAAAATCCAAACATCAGAGATATTATCAAAGACACATGAATTTGTTTTAAGTTTAGAAAGTTCTTATGAATTTATTGTTTGATGTTCTTTTTACTTTTTTAATTGTAGATAATCCCAAGTGAGTTTCACAAAGGAGAATCCATACGACATATGCTTCTTTCTGTGATATGATTATATATTCAGTAGTTGTATGAAAGGCACTCCATTGCTAAGGAAATAACCAGATACTAATAATTATTATGTTGGTTAATCTTACCAACTGACCATATTGTAATGCAAAACTTTTTTTCAGTAAATAAACTGATTATCTTTTGTTCATTTCATCAATGCTAAATTTTTATTAGTTTAGAATTTTTCTGTGTGCCATTTTCATTTATGCTTACAACAAATAAAAAGTATAGGAACCTCTATATGATATATATTTTTATCCAATATAAGATCTTATTTAAACTAAAAACAGAAGGGTTTGCTTTAATATTTCTGCATATTCCTGTTAAGTGATGTGTATCAACTTTATTTTCTCCTTTTCCTACTCGTAATCTTTCCTCAAAAGGTATTTTGGCAGGAAGATGCATTTAGTTGAATTCAGCTAGAAATGTATTAATTCAGGAAACAGTGTTTTAATGAAAAGAGAATGGAGCTTTATATTTGGAAGTAATCCTTGTTTCTTTTACATAGGAAAGAACTCAGTCAGCAAATGTGAGGGAGGTCACTTTTACTGGGTCTTTCTTCTTTTTCTCCCCCTTTTTTATTAAGAAATTTTTTTATTTGGTTTGCATACCAATCACAGATCCCTCCTGTTCCCTTCTCCTGCCCATCCTCCAGCCTTCCATGAGCAACCCACCCTCCATTCCCTCCTCCAAAAGTTAAGGCCTCCCATGGGGAGTCAGCAGAGCCTGGAACATTCAGTTGAGGCAGGTACAAGCCCCTCCCACTGCATCAAGGCTGTCCTACCATGGGTAATGGGCTCCAAAAAGTCAGCTCATGCACCAGAGATGGATCCTGCCTGGAGGCCCCTTAAGCAGATCAAGCTACACAATAGTCTTGTTTATGCAGAGGGCCTAGTCCAATCCCATGGAGGTTCCACAGCTGTTGGTCTAAAGTTCATGAGTTCCCACTAGCTTGGTTTGGTTGTCTCTGTAGGTTTCCCCATCATGATCTTGATGCCCGTTGTTCATAGAATTCTTCTTTCCTCTCTACAACTGGACTCCTAGAGCTCAGCCTGGTGCTTGGGTATGGATCTCTGCATCTGCTTCCATCAATTACTGTAGAAAGGCTCTATGATGACAGTTAGGGTATTCACCGTTCTGATTACTGGGGTAAGCCAGTTCAGGCACCCCTCTCCGTTGTTGCCAGAATCATCCTTGTGGATTCCTGGGAACTTCCCTAGTACCAGGTTTCTCCGTATAATGTTTCCTTCTATCAAGGTATCTCTCATTGCTCTCCCACTCCATCTCTGTTCCAGTTCGACCACCCTGTTCCCTTACGTTCTCATCCCCCATCCCCAACCCTCTATTGTGCCCCCTAACCCCCAATTTACTCCTGGAGATCTCATCTATTTCCCCTTCCCAGGGCAATCCATACATCCTTCTTAGGGTCCTCCTTGTTAGCTAGCTTTTGAATGGGCTACAGAGCTAAACAGAGAATTCTCAGTGGAAGACTCTCAGATGGCTGAAAGACATTTCAGGAATTGCCCAACGTCCTTAGTCATCAGGGAAATGCAAATCAAAATGACTCTGAGATACCACCTTACACCTGTCAGAATGGCTATGATCAAAAACACTAATGATAATCTATGTTGGAGAGGATGTGGAGCAAGGGGAACACTCCTCCACTGTTGGTGGGAGTGCAAACCTGCACAGCCACTTTGGAAATTAGTATGGCAGTTTCTCAGAAAATTGGGACTCAATTAATCTCAAGACCCAATGATACCACTCTTGGGCATATACCCAAGGGATGCTCAATCATACCACAAGGACTTTTGCTCAACTGTATTCATAGCAGCATTATTCATAATATCCAGAACCTGGAAACAACCTAGATGCCCTTCAACCGAAGAATGGATAAAGAAAATGTGGTACATATACACAATGGAGTACTGCTCAGCAGTAAAAAACAATGGCATCATGAAATTTGCAGGCAAACAAATGGAACTAGAAAATATCATCCTGAATGAGGTAACCCAGACTCAGAAAGACAAATGTGGTATATACTCACTCATAAGTGGATACTGGATGTAAAGCAAAGGGTCTTCCTTCAATATAAGTGATAGTAAACCAGCTGTTCTGGGAATCATCTGTTTTGATTCTGCTTCATTTTACAGTGGTTCAGGGGAAAAATAGGCAAGCATGGGTTTATGTGAGGTGCTAATGAGTAAAAATGAAATACTTTGTATAACTGATCAAATTTATGGGCCTGGCTAAGGTTGCCTCTTCACCTTTGGAACAGAAGACATTAGAAACACAGTTGTCTTTAAAAAAAAAAAATCTCTTGCCGAGCAGTGGTGGTGCATGCCTTTAATCCCAGCACTCGGGAGGCAGAGGCAGGCAGATCTCTGTGAGTTCAAGGCCAGCCTGGGCTACAGAGTAAGTTCCAGGAAAGGTGCAAAACTACACAGAGAAACCTGTCTGGAAAAAAATCTCTCCCTGTTCTAAAAACTACTGTTTTTACTTTTGTCTTAGGAGGTTGGACATACAAGTGTATTTGATACTTGGCCTTTTCTTATGCAGTAACACCAATAATTTGTCATATTCCTAAAACTTAAATAATTAGACAAGCCTCCATAAACATCAAGAAAGTATTTTTTAATCCAGGTACATTGACACATCCCTGTCACAGTTATTGGAGAGGTGGAGGCAGGAGGAGCAGGAAGATCACTTAAGCTTTTGAGTTTAAGGCTAGGAAGACTGTCTTGAGAAGAAAAAAGAAAAGAAAAAGTCTTTTTTTTACCTCTGCATTTTACAGACAGCTTGTAATATGGAGTATCCCTGTAATCCCAATTGCTTAGGGAAGTCCAGAATGTACTGGAACTTCAATATGCTTTTCTTAATATTTGGTGCTGCACATGCACTGTAGGAGTTACAGTGATTATCATCTGAGAAATGGGTCTTTTGCTCTCCAGCTTTTCTTACAGGACTTAACATTCCCATAGTTAGAATCACCAGACACTAAGAATTTAAGTTAACAAGTAGTTATTCTTATCATACCTTCCTGATGAGTCAAAATACTAGATCTTTAATATCATTATAAATTGCCTTCATGAGTGAATTAATTCCTCTGATAGAATTGCTTCTTAAACAGTTTATAGATCAATCATATTTGAATGGGTAACAGAACCTCAGATGTTTAATTTATAATATAACTGTTGAAGATAAATCTCACTGCCAGAAGTTTAAGTATCAAAAGTAAATGTGATGTGTAATAGAACTAAATTATAGAGGACAATATAAAAATAAAATAAGTCAACCATGATAGCAGATTGTTGTAGTAAAAGTTACAACAAAAATACTTAATTTTCTTTCATACCCACATTTGTAGGGCATACAGGATGGATATTTTCATAGCCTTACCTCTGTTAGTACAAAAGTCAGTTGGGAGTGACTATAAACACTCACATAGAAGTCTGTTTATGTCCCACAGCAGAATGATGAATATAATTTGAGAGAGCAAGTATGAAAAGAAAATGTAGAATTTCTTGTTCAAAGATTAAGCATTTCAGGGCAGTGACATCAGGTCATTAAAGCAATCAAGAAGTCCCAATGAATCCAGGCTGCTATATGACAGTGTCCAGAGTATGATGAAACAGTGGCTGATTTTCAGTTTCTATGGTTGAAGAAAATATTCTAGAGAAAATGTAATGGTAGCACACCAAGCACTTGGTCTGTCATGTAAAGTCCCTGAGCCCCAGCCTACGTATGGTTTGCCATAAGTTTAAGATTCCATCTTGTAATACTCATTTTCCATACAGCTGTAACATTTTAACTCAAAAGTTTATAAATTCTGATACATGTACCATAGTATGCTGAAATTACAGAAAATTCTGAAAGAATAGGAATCTAACTATTGGGATCCAGCCCCTTAATAGCCTTTTCCCAGGATCCATGGAAGAATCTACAATGAACTGAGGAATCTAGTCTTAATGATGTCAAATGAATCTATGTACATGAAACTCTTTACTCCATTTACTTTATTCTTCTGAGTCAATTCTCTTTCTAAACCTCTATTCTGCTCTCCTACTTAGCTCCTTTCTTGCCTGATTTCTCTCTACATTTTTCTGCTATTCTTTTTAAGTTCTATCTTAATTCTCCCATCTAGTTTTTTCCCATTTAGTTCTTTCCCATCTTGTTCCTTCCCACCTAGTTCTTCCTCATCTAGCTCTTCCTCATTTTCCATTTCATTCTTCTAGTCCCCCAAGTCTCTGAGGTTTTTCAGTTACATACCCATACAAAGCAGCAATTCCCTGGCCAAGGCAAGGTCATATAGGATTGAATTCTTTCAGGGTCAAACAGAGAGGTGATAAGATCTACTCCAAAGTAATTGTCAGCTATCATTTACAACCCAAAATGGAAGTGACTAATGGGGAGTAGAATCAACTGAGGGCTAATTTCAGCTGATAATTCTAAGAAAAGGGATATATGTGCTCAAACTATATTCTTAGAAATGGTTAATTAAAATGTTAAGAGCCTATAAGTTACTAAATCATGAGTGAAAATAAAACTGCCTTTTTTCCCTTGGGGTCTGAAATCTATTTTGACTGTGCCATTTTCTGGTGGGGGAGGGGGAAGTGCACTTGGTAGCTAGGCAACCGGCTTGATGCACCTGGTATGTAAAGCACCGGGTTAATTGTTAATGGGAGATCTGGAACTAGAGATAAGACTTGGAAAGGGGAAGGTTAAGCTTAACTAGCACATCTGCCAGGCCTTCTATAATAGATAGTCTGGATGCTATCCATCTGCAGTCAGTTCTTAGGAAGTCTGGGAAGTATCTCAGATAAGATACTTTCATCTGGAGAAGGACCTGGCCAGATGTTGCTAATGACAATAATTACAGAAAGGCCAAAAATTAGGGGTCTGGCTGTGTGACTTCTGTTAGCACAGTTGGGAGATGTTATCCATATACTTTAATTGTATAGGGGAAATTGTGCCCAATGAATGATCAAACACACTGTTATAGGAATGGAAAAGCTAGAATACCACACAAGAAATTCATAGCAAAAACCAGCTAATATTCAAAAGCCAGTAACACCAAGACTCCTTGAGACTTGGCTTTATCCTCTGGAAGAGTTCTGAACTCTTCCAGGTAATAGCTTTTGCCATAGTCAGCT